GTTGTCAATTTCACAGCTTTCCTGGGCTAACAGGGTTGTCCTGAATTCCAATCGACAAAGACTTCATTGATTTTACTTTCGTCGAGAAGGTATTAGCAGAAAGTCAAAAGCTATTCAAGCAGGTCTTCATACAAATCAGCTGTTCCGGAAGGACACGGCATTACCGCATCTAACGACTGCAAACTACAACAGCATTTTGAGTTTCAATCGATGATGCCCTTGAGGAATCGAGCAGATTGAATTTTTACGACAGCTTTTCGCTGTTAACGACTTGCATGAGCGGCCGAGAGAAAAAAAGAGATTTTGGAAAATGGCGTAATCTGTCACTCAGACAAAGAAGTCTATTTTCTACTGAATTACCGCCTCCATCAAAACGTTAGGCACCAAGAAAGCCTATCGCTTCTTATTAACAGGAGAAAGCCACTTAGTCGCGAATGCTTTGGTTTTCATCTTTTTATTATCGATTTGGGCTATAATCCCCTTATATCACAAATACACTGATCCATTGTGGATGCAAAGGTACAGCATTTCTCATGCTGACAGTAGTGGGTCTGACGACCAAGAGACTTGCTCGTGCATTGGTGGCATTACTAAAACATAACAAAAAACATTATAGTTGTAAACAACTCATAGCTGTTGGTCTGTTGAGTGACATACCGTTGACTTATGCATTGGTTTATCATTCGACAGACTGAACGATTGCTTTGCTCCTTTTTTATTCAGGCATGATAGCATAGGCTTTCATTTAGAAATGTCTCATTTCTTTGCCGATAGCCACTAATTTGCACAGGAGCAGCGGATGCAATTCAGATACAAAGCTACACGGTACCCACTTTACCCATTTTTATGAATATGCTTTATGCCATATGCACGCGAATATCTTTCTGTGTTCAAAGTGTAGATGATGCACCGAGAGGAATTCAGCATGCACACTTCAGGCATCGGTGCCGACGGTGAGCAATCCCGCAATTAGGATTTTAGAAAAGCTTTTCGCTTTAAAGGCATGAGTATATTCGTCTTTTCTTGATTGCTACTGTCTCCTTAATCGACCGTCGGTGTCACTCGCCCTTCCTCTTTTCGAGGTTGATAAATGAGTACTACTCTTTGAGGAGCAAACAGGTCCCTACACGCTACTCTTACCACATGGCTATAGACTCTTCTGCCTTTGAAAAAGGCACTCCTGACTGATGGCATAAAATTGGAAATCAACGTCGCGTAATCAGCTTCATGAAAAGAAGAGCCCAATCATGAAAGTGATGGAAGACTGACATTCCAACGATGAAGCACACACTAAAAAGTCTGACTTAAAAGTCCAATCAATATAATCCTGGGAGTAGTCACCCTTGCTTTTGTGCAAAACATTAATCAGACGTCGCGCTCATGAAAAGGTAGTGAATAGTGTTTTATTCACAAGCTGATACACGCATCCCTAGGATAGGTGAAGTCATGCTTATTTGATAACTTCATAAGATATTACATGTGGCATTACACAACGCTGATAATCACTTATTTCAAGTGCCACTTCATTTGCATCACTTCAGTATTTTGGTAAAAGTTATGAAAAAATGAAAATCACATGGCGGTAAGAGAGTTGAAGTTGTTTCACTTCGCAAAGAGCCATCAGAAGTGATAATACAGGCTAGATTATTTAGGCGACCAATCATTTACGCTGCCCGTTTACGGAAGCATAAGCGACTACTTAAAAAAAGTGATTAAAGGATGATTTTTTCATGCTCCAACTCTTGGACGCTACCCCAGAATATCGACATGGGTTCATTCAGTTTGAATGTGACTTTTAGAACGTTGAACTTTGTAAAGTTTGTGTGGCTCTGTCGCGTTTATATAATTTGAACGCGAACCGTCCAAGACTTAAGTAGCAGAATTTTCAGAAAACTGCGCTCGTCATAGCACGGACTTTTCAGCGACACATGTAACCAGTGGGCCAGTGATTTTTCATGACGTGACACAGCCAACGCTGAGCAGTAAATCTGCTTAGTCCGTCCTTAAAAGACAATCAGAGACTACGGAAAAGACCAAGGGCGCGTAGGCCGGGGACATTCCTTAAATCCGCAAGCAGGATGTACGCGCAAGACTTAAACGATAGGGATGAAAGGAGATATCCGACACGAGACAAGTTGATGATTATTAAAATGATGGCCATCACATAAATGAGTTGAATTTGTAAGCTGGCCTTTTGGCTAGTGCACAGCCATGATCAAGCCTTGAAAGAGGATAATTTCCTGTCTGGAGATGCGGTCAATCCGTAAACCTAGAAATGATCAGTCAGTTTTCACAAACAATTTCTTCCTAATATGCTGAAAATGGAAGAGTACAGAGAACAGAACATTGGGAGTGCTGAACATACCTCCGTAGATGCACGAATATGGAAAATTTCTGAAATTTGTTCAGGCTAAGTTTCTGCAGATCATAGACAACTTTACGAATCAAAACAAGTATTGAAAGTGACTTTTAGAGGTGAGGTCGTTTGACTGCAAATTGTACAGTGGGCGGAGCAATTACTAGATTTGGTGATGAGAAAGATAAATTTGGAATACTATGTAAGTGAAGCTAAACAACTGCTTCGAGTAGTATAACGTTTCGTGAGCTGTTTACCCTAGACTACCTTGAAAACAATGAAATGCACACTTTCGAGTAGCTCAAAGGAGAATGTTTGTCGCATCATATTAGTGCAACATGCTATGTGGTCATCAGAGCCAGATTTGGAAAGCAGCTGGTGGGATCCTCCAGTGGCCATTGGCTCACTCAGCGTTGTATTAGCAACTTCGGCTACTGAGGTCTTTCGCCGAAAGAGGTGTTCGAGTAACAAAATCAGTCAACTACAGTGTCTGCTTGGCGACCCAAGGGATCACATATCATTTTGTCCTGATTATGGAAACTTCTAGCGAAGAAAGCAGTTGCCTTCTGAGAAACGTACAGCTCGACAACATTTATTTATCTCATTCAGATTCTTTGGGATTGGCCCTCTCTTACTTAGCCTTTCATTGGCTCCCGATAGC